TACCTGAAGTTCGCTGTTAAAATTCACTGCTGTCAAATATGCGTATTTATGCCATTATAAAAATAAAAAAACTTTTGAAAAAATTGACAAATTTAAATTGAATTGTTGAGAATTATCGGTTGACAAAGGCATTTCAGCAAATTTGAATCGCCAACAAATTACAAATTTATTTACAAAATTCATTAAAATTTCGGGTAATTGTCCTGGGAAGTCATAGCTCAAATCTATGGGAGTGCTGCGAAAATCAATGGATATATGCCACACCAAAAATGGGAAATAATTTAAATATTTGTGGGGGCGATTGATGACGGCATTCAACTGCATGGAAAATAACTTGAAAACGAGAACATTGGATCTGAGAAAATCAGCAAACGTTTTGATTCAGTCAACACTAATTATTCGTGTAAAATAATGTACGACAGTCTCTCGATATTCCTAACGATGACCTTTTTAATTTTCTTCATCATTTCAGATACCTTTAGATAATGATCCACCAGAATTTCAACGAAATGAGTGGACTAAAAGTTATATTTGAGGCATCAACAAACAGCCAATATGTTTGTTTAAGACCCCATGGTATAAACATGTCATAAACACCACATCGAGGTTTTTCATATATTTGTCAGTGGATTCAAGCTCACTCTCTCGAGATAAAATGGAACCTCTTCAATTTATTTCACATAACGAAAACCTTAAATGTGTTTAAATAAAGTTCGTCAAAAGCAGTTGAAGCCTTATGGGCGAACAATGGGACTCAAAATATTCTGGAATTGCGGGTGGTAAAATCACAAATAATCGGAAACAAAATTAATAGTCACAGCGCCAAAGACAAACGTACCATCTTACGGTTCTTGTAGGGGCTGCCACAGGCATGGATTTTTTGTCACCATAACAATCGTTAGGGATCATATAGACTTGAATCAATATCCTTAAAATCAGTAGATCATTTGAAGCACAATTTGCGTAAATTTAACATTTATACACTTACAAATAATTTGCGCCATAAATACTTTCCTTGGACCCTCCTTAATTTGCTGTATTTGAGTTAGAGTAACTTCGGGTAATGTGGACCACCATTTTCTTTTTTTGATATTGTGGGCGTAACAACGGTAAAAAATAAAAACGAAATTGTTTTCACAACATAGTAGATTTGTTGGCTAAATATATTCCAGGTCAAATATTATTTATAATTTTCTATAAAAATGTTATTGCATTATATTTCAAAAAAACCAAACCTACGAATAAAAATAACTTGGCGGGTAATGTGGACCTGTATGTGTGTATCATGAGGATCAGTAAGTTAAAGGTAGGTGGTGCATTGGTTGTGATAAGTTTCCATTTATTGCACTCTTGGGTAACAATGAATGCAAAAATATATGGGTTAATGTTTTGGACTAGCCCCCACTTAAGGGTACCGCCCCATTTGCTGTATTTTGCAGATCCTTGCTTCATTATCCAATCGAGGCACCTGTAATTTCGCATATCGAGTTTTCTGAGGGTAGAATACCTCCTTGCATATTCAATGCGCCCATGTTTCGAACTCGTCCTCGTGAATAGGTACCACTTTTTCATAGTGGTCCACATTACCCGACATTGAATATTTTTATTTAAAAAATAATTATCTGCTTCAAAAATGAATAAAAATTAAAAATCACCGATTGTAATTGCAGCTAAACGTATATTTTTGTTAAAGAAAACAAGAAAACCACATAACTTCTTTATATTCGAGAAAAACAAAGTGTTCGACTATTGTGGTAAAAAATTTTTAAATCACACTTTTATAATCAGAGCTACATTTTCTACTACTACATTTTCAACATTGCAATTATTTATTAAAAACCAAGTTTGATGTTTGTTTTCACTAATTAGGAAAACATTTATCAAGGCGACATTGACATATTTCAAGCATTTTCTTAGATATGGGGGGTGGTCCACATTAGACGCCTGGTCCACATTACCCGAAGTTACTCTAATATTTTTTAATTTTGTCAAATTAAAAAAAAAAATTACAAAATTTATCGCCTTCAAATAAAAACGTTAACTGACAATGAGGTGCGAATTTCAAAATAGTGCCGGCTTGGTTGTTTATTGAAAGCTCAAACATTTTTCAATTTCTTTCGATATGAAATAGACCTATAAATTTTGGTTCAATTATATCGTTAAAAGAAAAAGACGTTGGAGCATAATATTGCGAGAATTCTAAAAAACGTTGCTAGTGAACATCGAAAATTATAAAATTTCCTGGATTTCGATGTTTAATACGCCGATGACAAATTTGCGTATGTAAGTCATTATTATAAAAATTTAAAGCAATCTGAAAATATGTCAAATTTTAATTAAATTTTTGAAGCCATGGGACAAATCTATAGGAATCAATGGATAACTGCCGCTTCAAGTCCAAGTGTAGATCAACCAAAGGAAGCAAGCAAATAAAACTGAAAATATGTTCGGTCATTTAAGGGAATTGATTTTAAAATGGAGAAAAAAACTAATCGGGCGAAACATTTGTGTTGTCAAATCAAAACGTTTGCTGATTTTCTTATGAATTTGGACGTTGACTAACCTTTTAGATTCAGATCGACATTTCCACGATTTCTAGCCATTTAAAACGCAGTTGACCATCATCATCACAAATATTCGTAAATTTTTACATTTTTGGAGCGCAGTTATCTATTGATTTTCGTAGCATTTTGTATACATTTGAGCCATGACTTCCCGTTACAATTATCGGGAATTATAACGACATTGATATGGTTAATTTAAAATTGCATTTATATTTGTTCCTACCTTCAAATATACTTTCAAATTTGTTTGAATGCCATCGCCATCCGATAGTTCTCAAAATGACACACCATGGTATAATAATAGAAGGTAACAGCAAGTGTTGTTGTACAACAAACGATACAACAACCACATGGAAATTTGTTGTTGTAAGTTTTACTAGTGTCAACTTAATTTGACAGAAAAATGTAAACAAACAAATAAATTATCAACAAATTTTATTTATTTTGAAAATGTAATATTTTCGAATCCTCAAGATAAAATTGAAAACATGAATGAAAATCTATCAAGTTTATATTTCTATCGCTTCCACATCTTTCCTATAATTTAGCCATTGCCACTTATATGTGTAACCCATATGAAAATGCTGGGAATTCCATGAAGAAAGATTTGCTTCCTCAAAATTTCCCAGCAGGCAGATTGAGTAAATTGAATACGGGAGGACATTTAATAACGCCGATCTCTAGAAAATTCCTTCATTTTCGATGTTCACTAGCAACGCCTTGTCGAATTATCGCATTATTAGTCTCGTATCATGGTACAATTATTAAAGGTAACAGCAAATCCCAGCTGATTTGATTCCAACGTAATACTAGTGTCAATATGAATTTGACAAATTTTGTTTTTAAAAATCACCCAACAGGAAAATTGGGAACGCATACAATTTGAAATTGTTCTTTATTAAATGTGCTCCCGTATTCAATTTACACAATCTGTCTGCTGGGAAAGTTTGAGGAAGCAAATCTTTCTTCAAGGAATAACTCGCTATTCCCAGCATTTTCATATGTGTTACACATATATATGGCAATGGCTCAATTATAGGAATGATGTGGAAGCGATAGAAATATAAATTTGGTAGATTTTCATTCATGTTTTTCAATTTGTATTTTGAGGATTCGAAAATATTTAATTTTCAAAATAAAAATAATATGATGATAATTTGTTTGTTTACATTTTTCTGTCAAATGAGTTGACACTAGTAGAACTTACAACAACAAATTACCATGTGGTTGTTGTATGGTTTTTTGTACAACAACACTTGCTGTTACCTTCTATTATTATACTATGGTCTCGTATGTATTTTTCTTTTAAGGAAATAATTGATCCAAAATTTATAGGTCTATTTCATATCGAAAGAAATTTAAAAATGTTTGAGGTTTCAAAAAACAACGAAGCCAGCACTATTCTATTAAATTCGTACCTCATTATCAGTTAATAAATTTTATTGAAGGCGACATAAAAAATTCAAAATTTTAGTGAAAATTAATTTTTTAATATTATGCCATGTTCTGACGGGCATTCGAACAACGCACTTCGCTCTCAGAATTACGTACATGAATTAACCCGTTCATACAACACTATTCTTAATTCATGTCATCAGAGTTTTTTTATTTCAAACTTTTTGTTTCTTGTTTTGTAACATATTTGCGTGAATCACATATGAATCTAAATAGAAAAAATAATTCTCCTGACTATAGTATGATCCAATATTTCTATATATATATATATATATATATATATATATAAAAATTTCTATAAACTTTTTTATAAAAATTTCTTTAAAATTTTTCTATAAATTTTTTTATAAAAATTTCTATAAAATTTTCTTAAAATAATTCCTATAAAAATGTCTTTATAATATTTTTAATGTTTATAATTTTTTATATGCATTTTGTTTTTCAGTGCAAAAATCTTTAGGATTTTTTTAAATGTTTTTATATAGAAAATTTTCTGTTTTTTTATTTAATAATATTTTTTATAAACATTTTTTTAAACTAATTTTCTTTTAATTATTTAAAAATTCTATAGATTTTCTTCTTTAACTACAACCGTTAAAACAATGTATTTTCTACTTTGGCGCCGACTGTAGGTGTGTGTGTGTGTGTAAGTAAGATCAGCTGTTGCCGTCAAAGGCAAAAATCAAACGGCAATGGACTCTGTGAACAGTTCGACAAACAAATAACCGTCTTTTTTTTGTCGTTACATTTTGTTGAGATAGCCCTGCCGTCCAGTGTGTCAGGGTCTTCGAAATGATCAATACTGTTGGAAATATCAGTAACATCGGAAATAATAAATGTTGTTGGCAGTTCCTTGCGTTTGGTCGTTGTGATTATAAATCTCCGGAAATTGTGGTAAATAATGGGGAAGTCAAAGCCGTATGGATACTACATACAACTGCAAATACATATGTAAAGTTGATTTCATGCAATATTGAAAACATGATATTTCAAGTTACAGTAACTGAAGGATCAAAGCAATGCTCGAAGGAGATATCAACGAAACAAATAAATAAATATATCGAAGGATTTCGCCAATATCTTGGCTAGCGAAGAATTCTGCGATGTGACTCTGGTCGCCCAAGATCGAACTGAATTCAAGGCACACAAGGTTGTGTTATGTGCTCGCAGTGATGTGTTTCGGGCCATGTTCCGCAATGACCTGCAGGAGAAGAAAACCGGTAGTATTACCATCGACGATATGGATTCGGACGTGCTCAAGAAATTGCTAAATTACATCTACACGGACGAGGAAATACCCAAAGAAATGGCCGCAGATCTATTTGTGGCTGCCAATAAATATGCCCTAGTGGATTTGCAAAAAATCTGTGAAGATATGTTAATCGAAGTAATGAGTGTCGACACAGTGGCTGATATTCTTCTTCTGGGCGATCGTCATTCCAGTGAACGCCTTAAATCAAAGGCTGTTCAATTTGTAATCATTGTAATCATAAAACATTAAAAATGGGCAACGAAAGGATGGCAAAGATTACGTGCGAATGATCGTGATGTATGTTTGGACATCTTGGAAAAGGTCATGCAGATGCAGTTGTAGTTCGGTTAAGCCATATACAAAGATGTGTGTATGTACGTCTTTACAAAGGTGTGACGGATATGAATAATTTTTTTTTTTATAACAAACTCCATTTGTTTATCGATTTTATGTTGCATTCTTTTGTTGTATTTACAAAAAAATTGAATAAAAAGAGGTGATTGTGGTGATAGCTCTTATCATAGCCAAACTGCCGTAAATGTAGCTCGTACGACGTAGTAGCTAAAACGTATGTGTGTATGGCTGTGTCGAAGTTTTTTACCACATAAAATCCCCTTTTGTTATTCGGATTTCTCATTTTTTGCCTCATGGGGGTTTTTTAGTTCTTTCGATGTTTTATTTATTTATTTTTTTTTTTTTTTTGTATTTAATCTTTTTTTTTTAATATTCTTTAAAAACTGCCATGGTACAATTATAAAAGGTAACAGCAAATCCCAGCTGATTTGATTCCAACGTAATACTAGTGTCAATATGAATTTGACAAATTATGTTTTTAAAAATCACCCAACAGGAAAATTGGGAACGCATACAATTTGAAATTGTTCTTTATTAAATGTGCTCTTGTATTCAATTTACTCAATCTGCCTGCTGGGAAAGTTTGAGGAAGCAAATCATTCTTCAAGGAATAACTCGCTATTCCCAGCATTTTTATATGTGTTACACATATATATGGCAATGGCTCAATTATAGGAAAGATGTGGAAGCGATAGAAATATAAATTTGATACATTTTCATTCATGTTTTTCAATTTTTATTTTGAGGATTCGAAAATATTTCATTTTCAAAATAAAAATAATTTGATGATAATTTGTTTGTTTGTTTACATTTTTCTGTCAAATGAGTTGACACTAGTAGAACTTACAACAACAAATTTCCATGTGGTTGTTGTATCGTTTTTTGTACAACAACACTTGCTGTTACCTTCTATTATTATACCATGAAAAACTGCTTTGAAAATGACTGTTCCTAGAATGAAGACATAAAACATTTTTTTTAGTTTGACAAAATTTAAAAATATTAACTCAAATACAGCAAATTAAGGAGAGACCAAGGGAAGTATTTATGCTGCAAATTATTTGTAAGTATATAAATGTTACATTTGTGCAAATTGTGCTGCGAATGACCTACTGATTTTTAGGATATTGATTCAAGTCTATATGATCCCGAAAGATTGTTGTGCCGACGAAAAATCCATGCCTGTGGCTGCTCCTACAAGAACCATAAGATGATACGTTTATCTTTGGCGGCATGATTATTAATCTATTAATTTTGTTTCCGATTATTTGTAATTTTTGCACCCAGAATTCCAGAATACTTAAGAGGTTCCATTTTATCTCGCGCCAATGAGCTTGAATTTGTCCACTGACAAATATATGAATTGTTTATACCATAGGGTCTTAAACAAACATATTGGCTGTTTGTTGATGCCTCAAATATAACCTTTAGTCCACACATTTCGTTGAAATTCTGGTGGATCATTACGTAAAGGTATCTGAAAAGATGAAGAAAATTAAAAAGGGCATCATCAGGGGACTGCATTACATTGTTTTACACGGACTATTGATGATATTATCCTTGTCTATGATAAAAAATGGGGGAAATTTTGTGTTGACAGATCAAAACGATTGCTGATTTTCTCAGATCCAAATGTTCTCGATTTCAAGTCATTTTGAATGCGGTCATCAATCGCATACACAAATATATTTCCCATTTTTGGAATGGCAGATATCCATTGATTTTCGCTGCATTCCCATAGATTTGAACCATGACTTCCCAACGCAATTACCCGAAATTTTAACGAATTTTTTAAATAAATTTGTATTTGTTGGCTATTCAAATTTGATTGAATGCCATCGTCAATCAATAATTCAATTTAAATTTGTAATTTTTTCAATTTGTTTTTTTATTTTTATAATAATGACATTCGAACGTATATTTGCCAGCAGCGTAATTTAACATAGAACTCCAGATAATTCCATAATTTTCGATGTCCTCTAGCGACCCCCTTTCGAATGATCGTGTTATTATGCTCCAATGTCTTTTTTAAAGGATATTATTGAACTAAAAGTTATAGGTCTATTTCATATCGAAAGAAATTGAAAAATGTTTGAGGTTTAAATAAACAACCAAGCCGGCACTAATTTGAAATTCTTACCGACGATGTCGGCAAACTTTTTTTGAAGACGTTCCAAATTGTCTATTCCCGTACTTAAAATATGGTATTTTTTGTAATTTTTAAAGGGAAATAGAAAACAATTTCGATTAGCAGGAGAATATTGATCTGTTTATTTATTATTTTTATTTCGACATTATAAGTCTCTTCCAGAACCAGCAAGAATTTACAACTTTTTACTACGATAGCAATTTTTCCTTTATAATATCGAAATAAATAGTAAATAAATGTTGTACGGGAACAGACCAATATTCTTTTATTAATCAAAATTCATGGTATAATAATAGAAGGTAACAGCAAGTGTTGTTGTACAAAAAACGATACAACAACCACATGGAAATTTGTTGTTGTAAGTTCTACTAGTGTCAACTCATTTGACAGAAAAATGTAAACAAACAAACAAATTATCAAACAAATGAAATATTTTCGAATCCTCAAAATAAAAATTGAAAAACATGAATGAAAATATATCAAATTTATATTTCTATCGCTTCCACATCTTTCCTATAATTGAGCCATTGCCATATATATGTGTAACACATATGAAAATGCTGGGAATAGCGAGTTATTCCTTGAAGAAAGATTTGCTTCCTCAAACTTTCCAGGCAGGCAGATTAAGTAAATTGAATACGAGAGCACATTTAATAAAGAACAATTTCAAATTGTATGCTTTCCCAATTTTCCTGTTGGGTGATTTTAAAAAACATAATTTGTCAAATTCATATTGACACTAGTATTACGTTGGAATCAAATCAGCTGGGATTTGCTGTTACCTTTTATAATTGTACCATGATAAGGCGTATGCATCAGATACAACAACAAACATTTTACAAAAACAACATTGTTGTCCAGAACCTGCAAGAATGTGCAATTTTTTACTACGATAACAAATTTTCCTTTAGGATATCGGAAAAAATAGTAAAAATTAGTAGATTCTTGCAATACGGCAACAGACCAATAGAAATTAAATTTATCGTAGTAAAAAGTAGCAGATTCTTGCAGCACGGGAAGAGACCAAATTATACATTTCTTCAGGTCGAATAATTTTGAAAAGTGTCCCACATGTAAGCCTTGGTTCCTTGGGGATTTTGCTTATATTTTAAATTACAATATAAATTTCGAAGAAGTGGCTTCTTGGAAGAAAAATTGTAGGACATAAATCCCGGTCAAACGCCACAAACCCTTATGCAAAATGTCAATAGACTACGCAACAGAATCTCATTTTAAATTGTAAAAAAAGTTGTATTTAGCCAGGCGATTGTAGAAAACTAATGGGCAAATTCTAATACAAGCTATATAACACCATTTCCTTGATTTTGAGGGAAACAGGGGATTTAGGGGCAGATTTCTTTTTCCTTAACAATATCCTTTTGGTATTAAATCGATCATAAGAACGCACATATACATATGTATATTTGCAATCTGGAACCCATGTTGTACTTGTGGAACAAATCAGCGGCCGGATTTAGAACTTATTTAAGCTCACGCTTCCTTGTCACTTGGGGCATTAACAAATATTCCGTCCCTATAAATTCATTATTATTGTACTTTTATTAATAAAAAAAAATAATAATCGAAAACAAAAGACAATATTTTAAATGGAAATGAAACGTTGACAAATATTTTTGACAATTTACTTTACAAACAATAAAGAAAAAAGTTTTAAACCATATGACTGTCACCTACACCTTATTAAATACACCTGAGTTTCCCCTTAAAAATTAAAAAAATATATCACATTTTGGTCTGTTCCCGTACTGCAAGAATGTACTCGATTTTACTATTTTCTTCGATATAATAAAGGAAAAATTCGTTATCGTAGTAAAAACTAGTAGAATCTTGCAGTACTGGAACAGACAATTATGTTAGGGAACACACCATTTGTAACGTCTACAAAAAAGTTTACCGACATCGACGGTAAGAATTTCAAAATAGTGCCGGCTTGGTTGTTTATTGAAACCTCAAACATTTTTCAATTTCTTTCGATATGAAATATACCTATAAATTTTGGTTCAATTATATCGTTAAAAGAAATAGAAATTGGATCATAAAATTCGATATTTCGAAGGGGCGTCGCTAGTGGACATTGAAAATGATGGAATTTACTGAAGTTCGAGGCTAAATTACGCTGCTGACAAATATAACTAAGAATGTCATTATTATGAAAATAAAAAAATTGGAGAAAAATGACAAATTTAAATTCAATTGCTGAGAATTATTGATTGACGATGGCATTCAATCAAACTTAAAAGGGCCCCATACACTATACATCATGCCGTACAGCATTTATCATAGTATGTGTTATTTTTTGAAAGTTTATTTATGTATGTGTGACACACACAACCCAGTAGTTCGAGTAACTGGTGATGAACTAGATATTTTACTAATTACCTGTAAGTACCACTAGTTACCACTTCATGCCCTAGACTGGTGAATTTAACATGGGTATGTCATTGGGGAAGTCAATTGTCCCCTGCCTGTGTTACCAGTATACAATCATTTCCATAGTCGATTCATTACCCTTTGCATTACCAGTAACTATTGAATTGGTATGATGTTCGTAGACAACTTTTTCAATTGACAAAAAATTCAAACAGTCTATTTTGTGTTCCTTTTTGGGTTATGAAGTAACTAGATCACCAAGTAACTAGCTATATAACTATATAATAGCAGACAATTGATATTTTTTGAACAACTGGGAATGCATGAAGAAAATCAAAATAGTTTTGATTTTGAA